TCGCGCTCTTCGTCTGCGCCGATACGCCGACTAAACGTTACCTCCGCCTCCTCCCCGCCGTCTCTCTCTCTCTCTCTCTCTCTCTCTCCGCTCCAATTTTCCCCGCTCGAGGAAATTTTTCACGCTTTTTTTGTCTTTTCGCTCCAAAGGTTGCACGCGAAACGGTGTTCACCATGGATCCGAGACCGAGTGGACCGAGGGAAACGATCCCTGTAGAATCTTCGCTTGCAAAGCAGGAGTGATCACCGAGTCTCGATTGCACTGCTACACGCCTTGCTCCGATCCAATTCCTCCTCCCCCCGGCCAATGTTGCCCCGTATGCGCTGGTAACTCTCCAACCCACACACACGAACACACACACACACACACACACACACACACACACACACACACACACACACACACACACACACACACACACACACACACACACACACACACGTACTTTCGTATCCGTGATGCGCTTGTAATTCTGCAGGGAGTCCCACGCGGCGATTTTCCGGTCCTTCTCACCGCCCGACAGCAACGTGCCCTCGGACAGCATGACAAGCGAGCTGATCCCCTTGTTGTGCGCCTCGAACTCCATTCGGACGAAGTAGGCGCCGTCGGCGTCCACCGAGTAAACGGTGATGAAACCGTCGCTGTCCGCCGTGACGACATCCCCGTCCTGTTCAAATTGGATGCTGGTCACGTGCGTGCGGGACGGCTTGAACGGAGAGAGAGATAGAGAGAGAGATAGGAGGAAGAGAGGAGAAAGAGAGACAGATAATTCGATGAGATAATTCCGTTAAAATTGAAAATCGTTCAAGATCAACTTACAGGTTTGATGATGTCCGTCCTCTCGAAGAAACCGTCCTTGCGCCTGTTCCAGAAGGTCAGGTGGCCTCGGCCGTGGGTGATGAGCAGGTTATCGTCGAGGGGATGGAAAGCTGCCCCCGTCAAGTCCTCCTGCATAGTCTGCGACGGATAATCGATGAATACACAATGATGGTTTGCCCGTCATGAATGAGTGGAAAAGGCGAGAGTTACTTACCGCCACTTTGCCCAACAAATGGCCCCATTGCCATTGCCACACCGAGAGTATCGCCTCCCTGCCAGCGTCCACGGCCAACACGTAACTACCCCCGTTCTGTAATTTTGTGTAATTTTTTCCTATATCGAATCCTCTTGCGAATATTATTACATATAATAATTAAGAATGTAAAAAGGTTTAGTTGTTTCTGGTGTGCTTGTATACATATATATATTTATATATATATATATTATTTTTTTTTACCAGCTGCGAAAACGCCAGAGCGGAGACGCCCATCTGGAACTCGGTCATCCCGAACACGTAGAGAGTGAGCAACGTCTCTGTTGACCATATGCGGACATGCGGTTGCGCTTTTCTGTGCCTGCCCGCTTTTTGCCCGGACGCCACCAGCTCCCTGCTCGGATGAACCTGTGAACGCGTGCATCGTCGATTATTATTATTATTGTTGTTTCTTTCTTTCTTTTCAATTGCGAGACTAAGATCAACCGTTTGCGCTCTCAGGCACTACTTGGATCGATGCAGCAATATTATTTGCGTTTACGTATAATCTTATAAAACGTAGAATTAAATTATATTACGAGACAGAAGCGGATAATGAAATTAGTTCGAGTGAAGATGAGTTTGATTTTTCGTTACATCGAATAATACGAAATTATTCCTATTCGTTAAGAAATCGACGATAGAGAGATGTAGTAGTGTGAGAATAATGAAAAATAAAGATAGTAGACAATAAATTCTAACACGACATTTTATTGTGATATTTGGCAATTACTTCGTTATTAAAATATCACACACAATAATATAAAGTAAAAAGTAGATAAAATATCGAAATACAAAAGTTTTTAATTTGCGCGTGAATTAGCTAAATCGTGTTGATTTGTTGGTTAAGGCTTTCTTCCTTAATTTAGAAAAAGAATGCTACATGCGCACCTCCATGCACGTGATGTCCTCCGTATGGCCGACGTAATGCCGTTGTGCATTTTCCTCTCTGTCGAAGAGAACAGCCACGGCAGCGACGTAGTACAAGAGTTCCCCGCTTGGGAGGACCCACAGGTTTCGCCGGGTATCGGTACCCCGATAACCGTAAACCCACTCGAGTTGCAGCTTCTTATCGGGTGGGGAATTGTCGACCGGGGGCAGGTGGGAGGGCGGATAGAACGATCTTCTCAATCCTCGGATCGTCACTCTTGCCGGCTCGTCCCTCAACACCTCTACCACGCTGTAATCTGTTGTTTCGACAACAACGAATACAATATTACCCTTCTTTTTTTACAAAAATCGGATATTGGATATTGGAAAAATATCGCTCTTTTAAATTAATTGCAGAAAAAATATTCGACAATTGAAAATGTATAAATCTATCAACGCATATTAACGATTTTCAAATATTGCATGAATGGATAAAAGTGTAATACTATTCTTATTATAAATCCCGATTGTCTCGAGGAAGCAACGATATCTAATTCAAAATTAAGTAACAATTAATTAACGAATAATAACATAATTGTTCAGTGTCGGTTTATACAAGGCGATCAAGTGCAAGATATATATATATATATATGTATGTATGTATGTATGGAGAACCGTTTACTCGGACGACGTCTGAATCAGGGGCGTACAAAGCGCGCGGCCTGCTCTTGCTGCGGGCGCGCCTCTGGCGGCCGATGTCCTCAACCACGGTCGGTGGTCCGCGCGATCTCGACCTCCTTGCCGGGGACGCGGCCACGCCGCCCACCATACTCATCCCTGACCCGGTGCCCAGATAAAAAGTATCCACATCAGCGAATTCGTTCCTCAACTGGGAGAAACTTCTTACCTGTCGACGTTGTTTTCAATTGCTGTTATTACATCCGATGTCGAACGATTTTAGGTTAGGATGATGAACGATCAAAGATGAATGAATCGAGGTGTCGCGAGTGTCGTCGTATCGACTCGTCTACGACGCGGAGAGAGAAAGGATAAACGCTCGAGAAAATTGGCCAATTTGAAATTCATGTATTCGTGACCCGAAAACACGGATCTTTTTTGCACGACCCATAAAAGAAAGGAGAATATAATCTAAGTATATAATACGAATTTCGATATCCAATTTACAACAAATATTTCTTTCTATCCGATGTTTCCAGGTGGCGAAAAGTTTCAAGAAGATGACTCACGTTAATCAACGACCCTAATCCATATCAACAACGAAGAAGTCGACCCCGATATCGTCACGCTTCTATCCTCCTCCCCTCTCCACCGTCGCATGCATGCATATTTATGGACAAACATTATTCAAGCAGATTTTATAAGTACGAGCCAATGTCTTCGATTTGCATAAATCGCTGATAAACTTTCGACTCGCCCACGTCTCACTTTGTTCACGAACGTGAGCCAATCGATCACCACGTACGTCACATCTCCTCCCCCGACAATTTTCGATCATCAATTCATATTCACGAATTATTATTTTATATATATATATATATACACACACGTATTACGTAAACTCACCTCTTGACCTGAAACTGTGAACATCCTCTTGGCCCCATTCATCTTCAACACTTGTCCAAGGTCCTCCAACACCTCCTCGAACGGTTGAGAGGTGCGAAGGTTCAACAAGACACGACACTGAAGTTTATAGGTTAAATTTCATCATATGTACGTTTCTTTTCAGGTGTGATATCGTTCCTTGTTTTTTACCTGTACGGTGTGGTCGTGGTTGTTAACGATTCGTATGACTCGTCCCGAAGAAGGTTTCCCACCGCCGCCACCGGGTGGTGGTGCTTCGTCGGTGATGGAAGCCTTCCTGCTGAGGCTGGCCACCGCCGGCGGCCTGCTTTGCCATCCCCCGCCGCCCGCTCCGCCCCTGCTGCCTCCTCCAGTTGGGCTCGTGTACCAAGTGTTGCTCTTCTTCCCGTAGCTGGCCGGCTGTTGTTATCAGTTATCAACAATCGTTCGAGGTCGTGTAATGAATTGATTAAGCAATAAGAAGAATCGATATATATATATATGTGTGTGTGTGTGTGTGTATATGCGTGTGTTCGTTAATTATTTCAGATAGGACCTGCAGCATGTCGGCCGGCAGCGATATAACCTCAAAGGAATCGCTCATCAACACAACGAAACTGTCGCAATCGTCCAAGAATTCAGGGCCGCAGGGCTCGAGCTCGGAATCGGTGTACGAGTCCGATTTCTCCCCGCAGGCAAAGTCCGGCCCCAAGTCCGAACGGGACGAGGAACTTGCCGACTCAATGGTGGACCCGGATCACTGCGTGGCGGCTCGCAACGACGATACTCGCCCCGATACTTCGACCGATTGAAATTATTTTTCTCGAGTTTGCCTTCCGTTATACGTAGAGTATAATCCACACAATATGACACCTCTTGATAATCACCTCTTATCTTTCTTTTAGGATCTCGACAAATTGGAAGACTTTGATTTTATTATGTGCTCTCGTTGTTTCACGAATCGTTCTCGAGAGAGAGAGAGAGAGAGAGAGAGAGAGAGTAGTAACTTTCAGCGTGTAG